AAGACAATTATCTACAAATTTTGGAGGAAGTAAATTTGCAGACTGAATTGTCCTTTAAACTGCCTCAATTCTCTGCTTGGCAAGTCAGCCCACACTCTCCTACTGAAGCTCCCCAGCAGAGCTGGTAAAGCCAGGCAAAGAGAATGCCCCCAGGTTCCCGGATTCTCACGTACAGAAAGAACGCCTAAGTGTGGAGGAAGGGAACTATAAGCCAGGAGAGAGGGTAGAGGAGTATGTGTAATACAATGTGTTGAGAGGAGAAACTGCCATATTTGATACTTTTGCTCAATAACATTCAGCAAATATTTACTGACTGCTTTCCAAAGACTGGCCATAACCCTCAGAAAAATTGACCTGTGCTCTGAAGAGCCATTCATTCACTCGGCAAATATTTACTGAGCTCCAACATGGGCCAGAGTCACTAGAATTCAGGTCTCCTTCAGGAACTCTTGTCTTGGAGTTTTCCCAGGTCCACCATAAGACATCCTCTTTCCATCAGCCATGCTTACCAATTATTATCCATTCACCAGGTTTGTTATTCTAAAGATATCTGCATAATTTTCCATTCTGAGCAGGCCTGATCCACATAAACGCCTTGGTAATTTCACAAATTCACTCACTCGCTCCTCTGCCACCTCCACCCTCCCTGAACGCGCCTACAGGTCTCAGCACCACTTGGCTCAAATGCAGAGGGTTCCAACCTTTCTAGCCTTCTCCTCCAGCACGTTTGTCTGCTCAGTTCTGACAGTGCTCTTCTGGAAGGCTGTGAAGCTGAAAGATATCTCAGTTCCAGTCCAAACTATGTGCTTTCCCTAAAGCTTTCTGATCTTCCTCCTCCATTACTACCCCCACTGACTCTCAAAATTTCAATAACCACCTCCACACATCTCATCAAAATTCAATAATCAGGCCTTCACTAACTCATCATAAATTATACCAACAGCCTCATAGCTGGCCTCTCGTTCCAGTCTCTCCCCACGCTAATGTATCCTTTGTACACCTTAGCACACATATCTTCCCAAGCACTTATTAAGTGCTCACTCAGAGCCAGCACTGATTAGGTGTTAGAGCCACAAGCTGCAGTAATGCAGAGTGATGATGGGCACATCCTGTGGAGAAAGGCTGCTCTGGCTATGGCAGAGCCAAAGGCAGCCCTACCACTTATTAGAGTTTACTTCACCCCTCTGAGTCCTGATTCCCTTGTCTGGATAATGGAGATAATAAGGATACCGCCCTCTCAGGGTGATTGTGAGATTTAAATGAGATAATTCATAGGAAGCATGTAGCACAGTACCTGGCACATGACAAGCACTCAGTAAACGTTAACTAAACAACAACAACAAAGGGAGCTCTCAGGTTAGCAGCAGAGACAAACATGTACGCTCCACAAGTAAGGGGTGGGAGGAATGACAGCACTTGGTGGGTGCTGTGAGCAGAGAAAGGAGTCCTGGTGGCACAGAGGTTAAGTGCTCGGCTGAGAACCAAAGGTTGGCAGTTGGAGCCACCAACCACACTGCAGGAGAAAGATGTGGCAGTCTGCTTCTGTAAAGGTTACAGCCTTGGAAACCCTGTGAGGTAGGTCTACTCTGTCCTATAGGGTTGCTGTTCAGTTGGAAATTGACTAGAGGGCAATGGGTTTTTTTGGGTAAGCAGAGAAGACTGAGTAACAAATTCTGATACAGTGATACGGAGCAGACCTCGAAGGTTAAAAGAAAGTTTTCTAGGTGTAGAAGAGTGGAAAGATTTTCTAGCTGGAACTTCTGAGCAAAGGCATGGCAGCATAGAAGGGAGAGCTTTGTGTAATCAAGCAATAGCCAACTGTGGCTCTGTGCTAATCCTGACTAGACCATGAGTTCCCTGAGAGGCACCTTGGCTTTGGATACGGTAGAGTTGTTCATTTATTCACGCAATTGAGCACCTGGTATTTTATATCAGGCACTGTGCTAGATGACAAAGTTTTCTGCCTGGTCCCTGCCCTCATGAAGCTTATATTCAAGCAGATAATAAATAAGACATCAAAATAAGAACACTTCAAATAAGTTAAATGTACTATTAACAAAATAAAACAGGATCATATGAAAGGGAGTGACTGGTGGGGTCAGGGAAAGCCACCCTGAGAAGGTGACATTTGAGTTGGGTCATGAGAAGGCCTGGGTGGAAGTGTCCTAGGTAGAAGGAACAATAAGAACAAAGGTCCTGTGGCACAAAGGGCTTGCCATATTGAAGAAAGAAAAAAAAAAGCCAGTGTAGCAGTGCATAATGACAGAGTGGAGGGGAGGTGGTTAGGGAGGTGGGCAGGGCCCTAATCACATAAAAGTTTGGTAGGCCATGATAAGGATTTTGGATTTGATTCTAAAACACAATGGGAAGCTTCTGAAGGGTTTCAAGATAGGATATGACATGATCTGATTTGTGTTTTTAGAAGCTCCCTCTTGTTTCTGGACACCCCAGTGGTGTAGTGGTTAAGTGCTATGGTCGCTAACCAAAAGGTCGGTAGTTTGAATTCACCAGGAGCTCCTTGGAAACTCTATAGGGCAGTTCTACTCTGTCCTATAGGGTCACTCTGAGTCGGAGTCGACTCAACGGCAACAAGTTGGTTTTTTCTCTTGTTGCTATGTGGTGAGTGGACTGTAGAGGGGCAAGAGAGGAAGCGAGAGAACAGATAGGAGGCTAGTGCAGTAACCCAAGCCAGAGAAAAGAGCATAGGGTTCTACTGAGATGTGATGTCTGGAATTTCTCTGTCTCTACATCAAGTTACACAATCTACTCCCTTTGCAAGCCTAGCTGGGCACAGAAGAGGCAGAACTGGTCATTTTCAGTTGGTTGACAGTGTCTCCTCCAATTCATTCCTATTTCCTTTCCCCTTCTACCCTCATTCTCTTTTCCTCCATATATCTCAAGTTCCTATTTGCTCATCACCTGACTCCAGCCTTCATGAGGTCCTAATGTTCCTACTCTATTCCTTTCCCTCTCCTCACCTCACCAACCCATGAAAGTTTTACCAACTACATGAAAAGGAGATAATTATTTTCTATCCTAGCCCAGAAGCATTCAGGAATTATCATTTTCACAAAGTATTAATAGAAGTCTAAGGGCTATTATGCCCTTGATAATCTCATCTGCGCACATTCTGCATGTTAAGGACAGTCTCCTTACATTCACCCTCCAGTGTTCTCCCCCAATGCAGTCAGAGAAATCTTTCAAAAGGAAAATCTGATCATGATCTTTTGTTCTCTTTCTTCCACTCTCTTCCCCTCCCTCCCTCCCTCCTTCCCTCCTCTCCCTTGCATAAACCCCTTCAAGTGGCTTCCCCTTGTATCATCAGGTAAATACCACCTTCCTCAACCTGAACTCTGCATGCTATGCATCTCACACCACTCCTCTCATTGCTCCCTGCGGCTCCAGGCACACTGGCCTTCTTTCAGGTCTTCTAACCAGATGTGCCCCTTTCTGCCACAGGACCTTTGTATATACTATTCCCTTTGCCTCCAAGCCTCTTTGATCTCCTTCTTCTCTCAGTTGACACTTCAGATCTTTAGATCTTTGCCTAAATTTTCTTCCTTAGTAAAATCTTCTCTGATCTGGTACTCAGGCTGGAACCACTGTTACACACACTCATAGCACTGCCTTTCTATCAAAGTACTCACCATAGTTTATAATAATATATTTACGTGTGTGATTATTTGATTAAAAATAGTCATTTCCCCCAGAGATGTTAAGCTACAAGAGGGCAAGAACATTGCCTATTTTTGTTCACCATTGTATCCCAGAGATTAGGCCCTCAATAAATATGGGAGGACTAGATATGGCAAGATTTTCCAAAATCTTCAATATGATTCCTTTTTTGGCTAAGCAAGCTAAGAGGGAACTACAGATATTCCAGAAACAAACTGTTACCAGGAAGAGGACAGAGCCAGCATCTGATACTTATTTTGCTGCAAACTCAGTGTTTGCCCTGCTCCCTTCCAGAAACCATCCCTGACGTCAACATGGCACTTGTTTCCAAGACTTGTCATCCTTCCTAAAACAGTCCATCCTCCTCACAGCCTTCAGCTTCAGACGTGACCAACCTTTAACCCCTTTTCTCCAGGGCAGTAACTCTCCCACCTGATTGCACAGAAAAGGGGGAGTGAGAATTCAAGGAGCTACCACTCACTCGCTGGCTGTTGCACAATAAACATTATTTCACAAAGCCTTTTCACAAATACCACCTCATTTGATCCTCAAAACAAACCTGTGAGGTAAACAAGGCAGATATTATCATTCCCATTTTAAAAGATGGGGAAACTGAGGTTCAAAGAGGCAAGTGACTTACTCAAGGTCACTAAGCCTGTGCAAGGTAGATGTAGGATTTGAACCTACAAACTCTGACACCAAGCCCAATGCTTTGTCTTACATCAGCCACCTCGACAGGTCGGTTATCAGTTACTTAAACTTGGTGTTCTCATTCTCCTAAATAAACACATCTGTTCCTGACCCCAGGCTATTTCTGCTTCCCCCTACCTAGAACTTGTCAGATGTCCGTGCAATGGGGTGGAGGGAGTCACAAAGCTGGGCTACACAAACGGGGTTTGGTCCCAGTAGCCAGTCTTTCCAGCTCTTCCTCTGAGGCAGAGGAAGAACCAGGAGTCCAGAAATAAAAACACAAAGAGCGGACCTGCTCTACCAGAGCAGGGTTCCTGGCTACCCTTTCTCCCACATGGCAGTGCGAGGCCAGCAGCCGGCCTCTCCCGACAGGGAAGACCTGAGGAGACAGAGGTCACCGCCAGCCGGCCGTCAGAGATGCGGCAGTGATCAGCCGGCTCCCAGGTTCGGCCCAAGGTCACCCTCCCGCAGCGCCCGCCCGATCCCCAATCGCCCGGAGCGCCCCCTAGAGTCCCAGGCTGGCCTCCCCTCGCCCTCAGGGAGTGGCCTGAAGACAGCTTGGGGGCAGAACGAAGGAGGGTGGGCAGAGGATGAGGAGGCTGAGCCCCGGGGAGGGGCGGGAGGCGGGGCCCTACCTGATAACTGAGGACGCCGTCCCGCTCGTTACTCCCGGCCGGCATGGCGGAGTCCAGCTACGTCTCGCCCTAGGGTTCCAGGCCGAGCGTCAGCAGCCCGCGCACTCTGGTCGGGTCTGAGAGGATCGCCTGAGCGGCGACCCCAACCTTGGAGCCAACGGTCAACCATCAACCGCCGCCGCCTCCATAGCCACCGGTCCTCGAGGCATCCGCCGCAGCCAATCAGCGCGAGGCCTTTGCAGCCAATCAGTGTGTGGAGCACCAGAGGACGCTGTCCGCCGGTACCCTGGGCTACCAGGAGAAGGAGGGAGCCCGGGAACCAACCGCTCCAGGGCCGGTTGCCGTGGAAACCGCCTCCCTCCCTTCAGGGGCCTCTGGGCTTGAAGGTCCTTCCAGCTGCTTGCTAGAAATTGAAAATCTCATGCTTCTATTTGCGACTGCATCTGACCCTTTGTCGCTTTTGTGTATTCTGATTTTATTCCTTGGGAGTTGATTTTTAAATGCTGGGGGATTCCGCCCCTAGAGATTCAAGAATGGAGTAATTGAAGATGAGGAGAGAGGGCCTTCTAAAATTGTTAATCCCAGAGCTAGTGGCCAGATTAAAAAGCATTAAAGAGAGCAGCCAGGCAGTGATCAAGCCCCCTGCACAGACTCACTCTGATTTAGGTCTTCTTCTTGGGTCTCAGATTGGCAACAAAAAGGACAGAACTGAGCTAAGCATGATTGTAATTCCACAAGAAAATGCTTCCAACTCTTCCAAGAAATGACCTAAAGCAAATTATTTAACAACAGAAGAACTAAGGCAAGGTTAGAATATCATGAGCAATGCATTCAGTTTGATTTAGGTTTCAAAGAAAAGAAAGACTGGCTAAAATTCTTTATATGCACTATCAGATCAGACTGTAGGTGAGTGCCACTGATGGGGGAAAGGGAATCGTTGTAAATAACGATTTACAGCCTCCGAAAAAGCGACCCTTGGAGGACATAGTCTGATACATGTTTATATTCGTTTCCTAGAGCTGCAGTAACAAGCTATTACAAATTGGGTGACTTATAAGAACTGAAATTTATTGTCTCAGTTCTGGAGACTAGTATTCTGAATTCAGGTTGTTGGCAGGGCTATGTTCTCTCAGAAGGCTCTAGGGGAAGGTTGTTCCTTGTCTCTCCTTCTGGTAGCCCCAGGTGTTACTTGGCATTCCTTGGTTTGTAGATGAAGCTTCACATGGCAGTCTTACCCCTGTGTGTCTCTCTGTGTCTCTCGTCCTCTTTTATAAGGATACCACTGAGGATAAGACCCATCTTACGGCTGAATGACCTCATGTTAACTAATACCATCTTCAATAACCCTATTTCCAAACAAGGTCACATTCACAGGTACAGGGGTTACGATTTCAACATATCTTTTTGGGTAACATAATCTATAACAATGTTAGAGTTTCCTCCCCTGCACACCACTCCCTGCATCAGCCCTGATGAATCTGAAACAAGGTTGCACTTCAGTGTCCCTAAAGCAGGACAGTATTTCTGGTCTCCTGTCTAAGGCTGAGTCTTAGTGTTTATTGCCACAGTGTCTGTCAATCTCTTCACTAATCCTCTCCCTTGAATCTGGAATTCACAGCCTACCCTCATCCCCATTTCACCCATCAAAGTCGTAACCATCCTTTAAAGTCAATATCAAAAGCCACTTCTTCCAAGAAGCCTTTCCTTACTCCTCTCTCCCTCCACTGAATTCTCATGGCACTTCATACATTTCTTATAGCAGTTACCATGCTGCGGTTATTTAAGGACTTTATTTGTATGTCGACTTTAGCTTACTATAATATTATAATTTCTTTGAAGGCAATGATAATTTTTCTTATGCCCTTTTGTATACTCCACAGAGTTTAGAAGAATGCTGGGCACCTAAAAATGATGGCATAATAAAAAATGAACTGAACATCTACTCTGTACAGGCCCAAGTAGCACTGAAGATGCAGAGAAATATCATACATGTCTCCAAGGGGTGGGATGTGAATTTCAGATTCAAAGGAGAGGATTAGTGAAGAGATTGACACTGTGGCAACAAACACTAAGGCTAAGCAGGGAAAGAGGATAGACATTAATAAAATGACAACATAACAGAGCATAGAATAAGAGCCATATGAGTCTAAGCAGGGAAACACAACATACATTAATAAAATGACAACATAATAGAGCATAGAATAACAGCCATATGAGTGATACAGATTACAAAGACTATAAAAGTTCAGAAGAGAGAAGGATCTTTACAACTTGGGGCACTTCAGGAAAGTGAAACAGAGGACATGGGTTTGAGCCAAATCTGAAAACATGGGTAAATTTTAGTTGAGCTAAGTAGATTCAACATTTCAAATCTTGGGCAAAGACTTAGGAATAAGAATGCACGTGGCCCATTCAGGGCAGCTGCAATTTGAGCTAAAGGAGAAAGTGTTGGAGAAAAGCATTAGGAAGTAAAAGTAGTGATCAAATTGGGGAGAGGCAGCTAATTAGTTTGAACTTTGTTTTTCTTATATAGGACACTGAAGAAGTTTTAGAGAACCCTTCCATGTGCCAGGCCCCGGGTTTAATGGTGTAAATGCATTGTGTCATTTAATATAGCATCCCTATTATTTCCCCCATTTCACTGATAAGAAAACTGAGGCTCAGAGAAGTTAAACAACTTTCTTAAGGTCAAGCAGTCATTAAGCTGGGATTAAATCATTCAATTATTAATTCGAAACATATTTACTAAGAACCTATACATCAAGCCCTGTGTTGGGTGTTGGGGAAAGAGCAACAAGAGAGTTCTTGCCCTCTTGAGCCTTACAATTTAGTGGGGAGACAGTAAGCAAATAAACAAGATAATTACAGGATATGAAAACTGCTGTGGTGGCACAGTTGTTAAGCACTTGGCTGCTAACCGAAAGGTCAGCAGTTGGAACTCCCAGAGGCTCTGGAGAAGAAAAGATCTGGTGATCTGCTCCCATAAAGATTACAGCCTAGCTGCGGGGAGACTGGAACTCTTATGCACTGCTGGTGGGAATGCAAAATGATACAACCATTTAGGAAAACGATATGGTGCTTTCTTAGAAAGCTAGAAATAGAAATACCATACGATCCAGCAATCTCACTCCTGGAATATATCCTAGAGAAATAAGAGCCATAACATGAATAGACATATGCTCACCCATGTTCATTGCAGCATTGTTCACAATAGAAAAAAGATGGAAACAATCTAGATGCCCATCAACAGATGAATGGATAAACAAATTATAGCACATACACACAATGGAGTATTATGCAACGATAAAGAACAATGACCAATCTGTGAAGTATCTCATAACATGGATGAAACTGGAAGACATTATGCTGAATGAAATAAGTCAATCACAAAAGGACAAATATTGTGTGAGTCCTCCACTGTAAAAATTCATGAAAAAGTTTACACACAAAAAGAAACAATCTTTGATGGTTATGAGGGATGAGAGGGGTTGCGGGGGGAATACTAAATAGACAACAGATAAGTGGTAGCTTTGGTGAAGGGTAAGACAGTACACAATACTGGGGAAGCCAGGGCAACTTGCACAAGGAAAGGTCATGAAAGCTCCATAAACACATCCCTGAGGGACCGAATTGCTGGGCAGAAGGCTGTGGGACCATGGCCTCGAGGAACATCTAGCTCAATTGGCATAACACTGTTTATAAAGAAAATGTTCTACATTCTACCTTGGTGAGTAGCATCTGGGATCTTTAAAGCCTGTGAGCAGCCATCTAAGATGCTCCACTGGTCTCACCACTTAGGGAGCAAGGGAGAATAAAGAAAACAGATATAAGGAAAAGCTCAGTCCAAAGGACTAATGGTCCACAACTACCACAGCCTCCACCAGACTGAGTCCAGAACAACTAGATGGTGCCCTGCTACCACCACTGACTGCTTTGACCAGGATCACAACAGAGGGTCCCGGATAGAGCTGGAGAAAAATGTAAAACAAAATTCTAACTCACAAGAAAAGATCAGACTTACTGGCCTGACAAATAAATACTGGAGAAGCCCTGAGAGTATGGCCCTCGGACACCCTTTTTGCTCAGTAATGAAGTCACTTCCAAGGTTCACCCTTCAGCCAAATATTAGACAGCCCCATAAAACAAAATGAGACTGATGGGGCACAACAGTCCAGGGACGAGGACAGAAGGCAGGAGGGGACAGGAAAGCTGGTAATAGGGAACCGAAGGTCGAGAAGGGAGAGTGTTGACATGTCATGGGGTTGTTAACTAATGTCTTAAAACAATATGTGTACTAACTGTTTAATGAGAAACTGTTGTGTAAACCTTCATCTAAAGTACAATAAAAAAAAATTAAGAAAGATTACAGCCTAGGAAACCCTATAGGACAGGTCTATTCTGTCATATAGGGTTACAGTGAGTTGGAATTGATTGAACGGCATACAACAACAACAACATGAAGTAAATAACAAGATTACATGATCAAGAATAACTGGTAGAAGGTGGGGAGACCTGCTTTAGATGGGATGGTCAGGGAGAGCCTCTCTGAAGAGGTGATGAGAGACTCAGTTGATGAAATGAGTCAAGCCAAGTCTGTCCGACACTAGAGTTCTTGGCCACTGTGCTACACTGTCCTATAAAAATGGTACCATTGCCGAAACCCGCCCTTAAGTGCAGGATGGGTCAGAGGGGAAAACCTGGGGCGGCAGGGGATCATTTAGGAGGCTCTGGTGACGTGTTTTTCAGGAAAGGCCAAGGATGGTGGCCAAAGGGAATATGTGTCCTGCATCCCCCACTCCCCAAGAAGACAGGTCCCAGCTACAGTGGAAGTGAAGTGGGCAGGGGAGGGAGAGGAATGAGGTGGTAGAGGTGATTCTTGAGAGTTCATGGGTCTGATTTTCCACCAGTTCACAGGCAGAAAAAGTCAGAACCTCTGGCCCTTGACTCCAGGGTCAAGAGCCCCATCTTCTGGTCTATTGTGCAAATTACAAAAGGAACTAGGCCACGGAGGCTGCCTCCAAGGCTGCCTGAGTCTGTTGTTATCTGGGGTGCTGCAGAAGACAAGCTCTCCTCTCCCAAGGCTGATTTGGTCTCTCCTTCCCAAAGGATGCTGGCTTGCTTGACAGGCTCCAACCCCCAGCCTCTGATGCCCCCTGTCCTGCTTGGAAAAGTGCAAAGATAGGTTGCTCTCAGCCTAGCCAGCGATCAGGCC